CCCCCACACAGCTTCTCAACCTCCTCCTCCTTCTCCTCCTCCTCCTCCTCGCCTCTTCCACGCAAGCTGAAATCAGTTCAATGTTCACAGCTGTGCTTGGGCGTTAGCGCTATTTCTAAGGACTCTACCTACGAAACATCAAACTCACTGAAAGATTACACTGTACCGCAGCTTCTTATATCCCCAGCTCAGTCCACGGGTCTTTTCTGTGATGTAATAGAAGCTTCCTCCCACCTCACCTCCCAAGCCCGCGCCTTCCCTCTGCGATCTGCACGCAGTGCCCCATCACGTGAATTCCTTCTGTACCCGAACCCAAAACCCACCCCACAACCTCTCCTTTGAGTCTGACAGGTAGACTTCTAAGTATGCCTGAAAAAAGACCGTTACAAATCCTGCCACCGCGAGGATGGTAATTACCGCAGCGCGATAGCTCCCTGCCTAAGCCTTTGCACCCCTCAGGCGTTCTGGTCAGCTCCCCTTTGCATTTGTCTGAGGAGCACAGCACCAGCTCCCGTCCCCCGTCGGTGCCTGCGCCCACAGACGGCCTCACCTCCTGCTCCCTGGCATCAGCAGTGCTGCGAGGGGCAAACATCTCAAACCCTCCCAAACCCACAGGCCCGCTGCAGCCTCCTCCTGCTCTGCCCTTCTTCTTCTCCTTCTACCCCTGTGGCGTAACTCCAGCCACCCACAGGCTCTCTGGGGTGTGCTCTGTTGTTCACATCTTCTCTGTCCTGGACATGGACTTCTCCTTCTCACAACGCTTCCACAGCTTGTAAACCTACTTGGACTTCTCCCTTGTGTTTATAAATCCTCTGGGTCCTACATCCCCTCCAGCCACCACCTCGCTGCTCCTCCTTTCATATTCAGGTGAGCGAGCCACCCACCCGCCCTGCATCTCCAGTCTTTCTCTAACCCAGGCCATCGGCCTTTGAAAGGTTAAACTATACCAACAGCTTCTTACATCCACAGCTCGTTCCCAGGCTCTGCTACAGGAGTCCCGGCAGAGGTCGCCAAGGACACAGCTGCTAAGACGGGCATCAGCCGTTACCACAGCTGCTTCTGGAAACTGGCACCTGGTCAGCCTCTCCGTCCACTCTACAGGTCTCTCTTCACGGACGTTGGTGACCCTGGAGAAGTCTCTGCTTCCTTCTGGGCAGGGTCACCTTCAGCACACACTGTGCCTGGCCTGTTGACACTGCCGCCCCTGTGCTTAGGCCACGCTGCCCAGGAAAGGTCCTCCGGGTGCAGCGCCGAATACTGGAAACCTGCGGCCATCAAAGCTTCATCACCACCCTCAAGAAGCTTGCGGTTCAGTGAGAAAGACAGCTGGGCAAGCAGTAAACGATGGCAAAGAGGGGTGAGAATGACAATGACGGCACAGGGAGACGCAGGGACGTGAGGCGGATACAGGACGTGCTTCCCGCCTTCGGCAGCAGCCTGTCGCACCCTTCAGACTCCTTAGGGTCCACACTGAACCATGACCTTTGCCCTAAGCATCCCCAGAAATGTTATTTGGTTTCGTTCTCCATCTTGAGGATGGGACCCCAACCTGCCTGGTCACCAGGACAGAGCCCCCAGCGGTCACTCTTGACGCCTCCTTCCCTCTAACCCCTAGATCCAAACAGTGGCCCTGCGAGGTTTTTCTCCCCGGTCAGCGGTCAGCGTGGCCATCTTGCCTTTGTTACTACAATATCCCGCTGTGTTCTTTGTCTTGTCTGTCTCCACTCTGGTACATTTTCTACACTTCCAAAAGTGAAGAGGATCGTGTCACACTCCGGCTTATAAACGGTCACTCGTTCTTCATAATGGTAAAGATACAGGACCAGGGATGTGACTCAGCACCACAGTGCCTGCCTGGCAAGCACAAGGTCTTGAGTTCGACTCCTGGTAAGGAGAGGAAAGGAAAGATGGTAAAGAGCCAATGGTTACAATCCACACGTCCAGGTAGAGCTCTTAATGATCCAACCCTTGTCTTTCCGGTTTCATACCTCAGAGCTTCTGCCCACATTCACCAACATCCCATCCCCTGGAGTGCAGTACTCCTGAACCACCGGCACAAACGGAGAACACGCACCGAGTTTCATCCCGCCTTGCTTTTGCACAAGCCATTACGTAAAACTTCCTCCGAAGCCATTGCCCTAACTCCTAAGCTTCTGCAGGAGGTGAGCCGTAACCCATGCCACAACCACTATTGTAGCCATCTTAGTGGAAAAGACAGCGTTTAAACGGTGGACTGGCTAACGCGGTGCGGCACTGGATTTGAACACAGCCTAGCGGATGTAAACGCTGTGCCGTGCTGCCTGCCCTCACCGAGTCCCTCCGGGGGACCTCTGATCCATCATCCTCCAGTGCTCACCTCATGAATCATGTTCTCCACTTCACTTGCCCTGCTCCCCCAGAGTGAGCCTCTCGCTTCCTTCCAGGCACTGTCTCGGTGCCTTGGTCACAACCCTGTTATCACACTTGTCACACTCTGCTGTATCCATCTGAGAACATATCCAAGCCACACAGGGATCTGGCTGCATCTAAGAAATACCCCAGATGGCAGAAATCCCCACATTTACTTCCTGAATCTTTCCCTCGTCTGCACCTCGCTTCCATCTCTGGCTGTCGATTTACCAGCTCGCCTTCAGCCTCAGCACCTTGCCTAGGTTGAGTTTGCCTCATTGTTTACCTCCTCGCCAAGAGAATGACAGACCTCAGCCCATCTTTCCATGACATGTCGCAAAACACCCATGACTGGGCTGGGGCTTTAGCTTAGTGGCCGTACCTGACTCGCAAGCGGGAGGTCCTGAGTTCAATCCCCGGTACAAAAAAAATCCACTACTTCCCATCCTGTGCATCGATAGTCTTTGCATTCCGACTGAGTCCCAGGAGCTGTGACAAAGGGCCCAAGGTCAAATCAAGGAAAACGTGGACACCAGGGCTGCCCCTCAGCAGGGGCTATAAATGAGATGTTTTCCCTTCAAAAGCAGTACGGCTTGGAAGGCCTCATGATTGAGTCTGGAGAAATTTAGAATACTGCCGGGCGTGGTGGTGCACACCTGTAATCCCAACACTGGGGAGGCTGAGGCAGGAGGATCACTGTGAGTTCGAGACCAGCCTGGGCTACACAGTGAGTTCCGGGTCAGTCTCTACTACATAGTGAGACCCTGTCTCAAAAAAACAAAAAAAAAAAAAAGAGAAAGAAATATAAGTGAAAAAAACATTTACAGTCCCAAACAGGACTCTAATGTTCTCAGATAAGGAAAATGGAGGAGGGCATCAGGGAGAGGGAGGCCAGAGACAAACTGGTTTAAGGAAAATGAAATATTTCATTTACTGAGTCCAAGCACAGATGGGACTTTAAAGTTCCCAAACAAGTGACAGAAAAACATGGGTCGGAAGAGGCTGAAGGCAGAGATGAAGATTTGGCCAGATGTGCTCAGTGAGCGAACAACCATGAGAACAGATATCAGAAGGCCCCGCAGCCCAGTACCTCCAGTTCCTACCTTCTCTGCAGGGTTTGAAGCCCTGTCTCTCAAACCATCGCTTTATCGGACAGCCATACCCTTATGAAGTGGGAAAGGCAACTCAGCTGGTTAACAGATGAGGAAATGAAACCCCAGAGGTCACGGTAAAGGGCCTTGCTAAAAAGTATTACAGCTGTGGACCCAGGATTAGAGGCCAGAACTTCTGGATCTTAAAAAACTCCCCTCTATTGGAACCGCACAGACAAATGTCTTACTAGCACAGGTCAATTTTTAAACACAGTTGTTCCATCTTGGGTTTGGAGTTTTTTGTTTTCTGATTTGCAGCTGTTATCAGTTTAAAGCTTGAGGGAGAGTAGTAATAATCCCTTGGCAACCATCAATAATCCTGTAGCAATTTTTTTTTTTTTTTTTTTTTTTTTTTTTGATACCAGGGATTGAACTCAGGACCTTGAGCCTGTGGGGCAGGTGGCACCACCACTGAGCTAAATCCCCGGCCCAGCCACTGCTTACTAAATATCTTCAGTGTGGAGAAAGAGCCCTGGCCCCGGGGGACCTGCTCTGTGATCATGACCCCTGCATTGTCTTTACTCGCTTCCTTGTTTTTAAGGAATCTTTCTGCTCTTCCAAACCCGAATATGCAGAGGGAGTACGATCAAAAAATTTCCCCCCCCCCGTAGCCCCGCCCCACCCCCCCACACTTGGAGCACTTATCCCATCCTTCCTGTCACCTTCTGGAGCAGTTCCGGAAGGCCTCTGTGGCGGAATAGTTGCACTATTCTGGCTGCACCGACGTCCTGAATCGATTCAAAATGTTTGCTGTCATGATTGTCTTAGGTTTAGGGAAGAGCCAGAAGTCACATGCTGTCACCAGATTCTGTGAGTAAAATGAATGAGAAGCCAGGCATGGTGGTGCATTCCTGTAATCCCAGCACTCGGGAGACTGAGGCAGGAGGATGGTCATGAGTTCAAGGCAAGCCTGGGCTATACAGTGAGTTCAAGCCAGCCTGCACTACATAGTGAGACCCGTCTCAAAAATAAATAAATGAATAAAAATTAAAAAGATGGATGAAGACACACTGTATTTTATGAGCCTGCCACATTCACCATAATTTTGATCACACTGAAAAGGGAAAGTGTGGTGTGGGTTAATCTGAAAATGGAGTTGATAATTCCAAAGTTCTGTAGTCTATAATGAATTATTATGGTAAGCAATATTTTCTTGCTAGTGCTGCCAAGCACGTAACTCCCTATGGAACCTGTTAATGCTGCTGAGGACACACCTTGACTTGAACCCATCCTGGAATTCAGCATACTCTATGCAATGCATTCCTGACACATCTCTGGTCTCAGGCAGTCAGGTGCCTGCCAAGGCCTGGTGCTGGCGGTGAGGCCCGGCCCGAGGGTCTCCAACTCTTTCTGTCCGTCAGTGCCACTGCGACCTGCTGCTGCCAAGACAGAAGAATAATGCAGGTGGGCACCAGTCCAGACACGAGCGGTTTTATTTTTCAGCCCAAGCAAATTCCTCCAAAGACCTGGCCCGGACAGACTGCCTGCAGATCGCTTTGAGGAACTTTTAATTCTGAGGTTAAACGTCTTCCAGGTTCACGGGACAAGGAAAGAGTGAGAAATCGGTTCCATCCCGGAAAGCACAATGGGCGTCGTGAGCTTTAAAGTTGAGCTGGGCGCTTAGCAGCGGAGGCCGCGGCTCGCAAGCCCGAACCTGCGGGGGC